GAAAACATCATGGACGGAATATTTCTGACGGAATCGTTGGCCATTATTCAATGTTTTAATCCCATATGGAACATATTTGTACACATACACTCGATAAATCTCGTTTCATTAAACATTCCCGATTAAAACGAATTTATTAAGCCCCGTCCTTTGCCCCATTATTTGCTGTTTCGTTACGGTTGTCATGGAATTTCGATTTCGAAAATTTCACACCGGCCACGATAACCATGTTAATCGAAGTAACTGCAAAACCTCCCCTCCCCCTCCCCCCCACCCCCCCTCCCTCCTCGAATGAAAAATCCTCGCAAAAATTTCATCCGCCCCGAAACGCACCTTCAAACCGTGCTTATTTCCACGTTAATTATTTCCGAATTTCCTTTTTCACGAAAATGTTTCGTTGAAAAAGAAAAGAAAAGAAAAAAAAATGATATTTTCGAACGAACGACGGATTTTTAATATATTCCATCCTCGATATCGACGCGTGACGTTCCCGCCGCGACCGTTTCCCGCGATATTTCCCATCTTTTTCCCCGATCAATTTTATGCAAATCCATCGAAGAATATCGATAACAACGATAACAACCCGTATTGGGCCTCGGTCGAAACTCTGCGTCCCAGCTCACGCTCGAAATCTATCCGCGTTAATAATAAACGCGATGTTTAATGCATATTTTGCCATGCTAATTACACGTTTGACGCCGACCGTTCCACCCGTCGAAACGTGCGTACATCCTCTCCCGTGCACAACGTTTGCAGAGAAATAGGGTTGATAAACGGGGGTTGATCTCGACATCGGTCATGAAGATAATTTCAATCATTCAGCTAACACGGCATTATGCGGCGAGCCCGTCGGCCACTGGTCAAACCTGACTGACTGACTGACTGGGCTGGCTGGCTGGCTGGCAGCTCGCTCCACGTCCAGTTTTCATATCGATACTTAGACGCGCAGTCTCTCTCTATAATTTCTGGCTAGCTTTGACGATTCGACGCCTATGTTGGGATAATAATGGCTTCTGAAATCGATAAGCGATGCATTTGCGTTCTCATCGAGGGATTAAGACGGGATGTATATATGGATATATTTGAGATAGGATCGAGAATCGATCTGGGATGATTTGCTGTGTGTGTGTGTGTGTGTGTGTACGCGAGATTTTTAATAAAACGTAATGGCGAGAACGTGTGGCGATAGATCGAAAAACGAGAATTTTGGGTTATCGCCCAATTTGAGATGGACTGGACTGGCAAGTGAAAATGGCGAAGGCCAAAGTTTATTTTCAGTATATTACCGCGTATATTATATCGATATTATTTATTAATAGATATTGGTGAATGTTCATTCTCGTTCGTAAAGTATAATAACAAAATTCTAATTCTGTTCGAAAAATTATTGGCATCTTGGCTGGCGTTTCACGCCATTCTTTTATCGAGTTATCGCCTTTTGCCGCCGGTATTCCTTACGTACTTAATATGCATTAGAAATTTCACGATGAATACGGATAATCCAAAACAGCGAGACCGTTGTTTGTTCTTCCTTTTAGAGATTCCACGGGTACGTGGCCTCGATGTAATCTCATTTCCATGGGATTAAAGGTGTTACGAGAAGCATGACGAATCGAAAACCTTGATAACAATCTGTCTCAATTTGCACGGTATAATATCGCGCTTCTCAATCATATCGCGCCATAAATTCGAATATTCGAATTATGAATCAATTAGAAACGTGATGCTACTTAATAAATTAGACATTTATATAAATAGATAGAACTAAACTGGAATAACGTTCGTTTAAAAATGTATAATACATATTTTAATTGGATTAGATTCAACAATAACGCGTTTGTCATCGGTTGTAAACCTTTTCTTCGATAATCTCGAGTGTATCGAGCAGCATCATGCATCACGAGAAATTCATTACACCGTATTACACCTTCATTTATGCGTCATCCTCGATACACGATGCCATTATATCTTCTTC